AAGCTACGAAATTTTAAGGGTGTATCTCCTGAATCTGATTGGCTTATGCAATAAAATTGTCAATTTTTGTTTAGCACAATGCACAGAATCGAGGAAGAACTTTTAAAGCAATTAAAAATCATAAACGGAAATGAGAAAAGCCACGAAAAAATGGAGTTCCACTCCAAACTTTTTTGTTGTATTAGCCAACGGATAACGCGATATATTCCCTTTAAAGTTTTATATCAGGTCTCTGGTGTCGAGACACTCCCAGTATTCTCAACATCAAAAAACACGTGAAATTTGATAATGCCCATATTGGGACATTTCAAATTTAAAACAGCGATACGGAGAACAGTTGAAGCCATCTTCTGATTGCAAGGAACATAACCATCATTTCGTGAAACTGATCTAGCATATAATATATGAGTTGACCTAACATATTTAACAAATTCAAAATCAAATGAAGGCAAAAGCGAGCACTGTTTTAGCGAGATGTTTAAATGACAGAATTGCCATACAATTACTTGGTGTCTCTCAGTGGAAACAGTGAAAACGTTAAACCTTTTACACATAAACTGTGCCGTTTTTCAAATTTACTGTAAAAGGTTTCCCGATGACCCAGTAAGGACAGAATCAAGACCATGTGTGCATAAACAGTTGAAGTTCTATCCATGCAGTTGACAACTTGATAACTGCGAAGGGTGGGCAACCTTTTGCAAAGAGCTTGCATTGAAAACGACAGGAAGATAACAACGCGAATACCAACAGCAGGAAACCACAAGTTAGTTCTACACGAAATGCTATGTTGAAACTTCTGCAATCGATTAATTTCAGGCCATTTGAAAGCAAAATGTCGTGACAAATTGAATAAGATCGATGTCAAAGAGAAATTACTTGAGTTTGCAACATGAAAGTTGCTGAAAAAACTATTTGTTTAACAGCACTAATAGCAGCCTGTACCATACCTGTAAGTTATATTCAATTGATTTGCTTTATATTCGAGGGTACCTAACTCTATACATAACATGAGCGCAGGCCTGAAAACTTAACCAATATTGCACGTGATTGGCAGGAACGTTCCAAACAACTCTATTGCTTATAAAATGAGACATTTCCTCACATCCCTTTGTATTGACGGACCCAATGATGAAAAACACAATAATTTATCAGAAAAATCTTAAACTTTGATTCAAAATGAACAACAAAAGGAATAATAAATCAAGACATTTCTTACGCTTAAATTAAAAATCGGATAAACATAAGCTATAAAAATATACATCTTTGTTTAGTTAATAGTATAAATGTGAAGTTTGTAGCATTACCGATTTGCTGTTGATGTGACGATGAGGAATCGATGCCATTTTCAGGCTCAGCTGAATTCACCCTGTCAATGTAGCGGTCAGCTAAATATGCGAAAACTGGAAAGAAATAACACAATAGTTAAATGTAGCAATTTGTAATTCATAAGTAATTTATAAATAAAGTTTTGAACTTTATTTTAGTTATTGCAACTCAAAGGTGATAAGAGAAAGGCGCTTTGCGTAAAAAAGATTTGGTGAAGGAAATTTTTTAACAAAAAACAGCTGAAAACACTTAGACAAAAACAAACACATTGGTAGATTTCATGCATGTATAAAGTCGAACGTTTGTAGATTGAACTATAAAGTGGGTATATGATGCAGCTTCAAATTTGTGTAGCAAATGCTCTTATTCGCAAACCAAAGCTTAAGTTAAGAGAACATCGAATAACACAAACGATCTCCGAATGTTTTGTAAATAATCAAGCCCATTAACTCTTTGTAATGGACAAAACTGATGTATTCGCAACCTGCTACTCTAAATCAAAAGAAATCAAGCGAGTTCGCTGTTCGATTACAAACATTCAATATCAAGAAAAGCTTACAAACTGGAAATGAAAATGACTAAAGTCGATGAATGACCTTGAAAGAATGTATTTCTGGTACGAAAAAAAATTCGTGCTCGCAAATTATATTCATAACTAATATCAAATTAAAGAAAAACAAAATAATCATTAGCAAAACTCATAGAGGCACGATGAAACGACACAATTCAATGAAAGTCTATAATGTTGAAAAGTTGACAAAGATTGTAAATCTAAGAAGACTGACAAACATGCATGTATAGGAGATGTGTGTATAGAAATTATAAACATGAAATCAGACTTGAAATTGTTTATTGTTGATCAACTGTTCTTTTTAACCCCATTAAAACCACTTGTTGCACAAAACAGATATTGCTTCCTTTACAAACATGAAAAGCAACTGACTGACTCACATGCGGTTACCATGCTTGCAAGAGTTCAATTCACGGCACTGCTTGAAGATGAAAACTTTAGACTAGATCACACAGACGTTTGCTTCAGTCAACGTGTTCAGACAACAAATATCAAATTTGTCTTGAATTTTCACAGCGAGAGGAAAATAAAGCACCTGACGATATGGTAACCTAGGCGACAATAGCTTATCATCTGCTTGTTGAAGAGAAGATAAACTCATCTCGTGTCACTGATTGTGTTATAGCGCGGTTGTGTGGGATATTAAAAAAAGAAAAAATCAACGCAGGAGCATGCAATAATCGTACTTTCCATCAGCGAGGACGAGAAATATCGAGTTTTGCTTCGAACACCAGCTAGCTGATATTCAAAATGCACCGTTTAACTTAATCAGATGAAAATATCAATATTGTTGGAAACAGAAGGGCAGTTGTTCATAAGATGACTGAAATTTAACGTCTGAAATATTTACGGAGGACGAAGCTCCCACAAGGAAAAAACGGAATAGATATTTAACTTACGGTGCGGTGACGTCATGTAGGCATGATCCTTCTCAGTAATCAAAAACAAACATTAAAAAGGGCAGATATTGAGTCTCTCACAAAAGAAAATGATTCCACAAAGAGATCAGAAGAGGCAATATCGCAAATATAAACAACAAGGGGTCAACATACTTCATGGTCACGGAGGAGTGATATCGAGATGAAAACACGAGTTCCTGTCTTTTGGAAAGAAATAAGCAATAAGGATAGAAATTTTGAGATAGCTTAGAGGAAGAATTTTTGATTTAGCCAAGATGTTTCCCGTTAGATGAAAGAAAACTAAGCTTTTACTCAAAATTGTTGCTTAATAGAAATATATTGCTGCTGAAACTCATGTTGAAAAGAAATATGATTCTCTGACTCATAATCTGATTCTTGGGGCCATAGTCTGATTCACGGGGACAGAGGACGATAACTTGATTCACGGGGCCATTCCGGCAAGAACTTATAAGCTCTGAGTGAAAGAGGAAGCAATAAGCAGGAAAAAACTTTATCCTTTCGAATCATTACGCAGTGAAATAAATATAAAGTTGCCCACAACTTTCAATGAAGGTAAATGGATTAGATGATACCTACGCAGAATTACAAAACGGCTTACATTGATGGACACCCCGTTAAAGCTGACACCTCGTTATAGCCGATACCTCCAAACAAAAGTCAAATGATTGTGGTCTAAAATTTGTACTTTACGATGAAAGCTTTGTAGCAGTGATCCCGGACAAGGGACCGGAACTATGGTTAACATTATATGGAGACACTATTCCACATTAAAAAACTAAAACTCAGGATTAGCTTTTCACAGAGACTGACGTTGAATTAGAAAAAAACAGATGTTTTAATTCAAGGAAATGAAAGTCAGTGAAATATATCATCTTCCTCACCACGATGATCCTTTAGGAAAGAAAAGTCTGATTGGAGGCCTGTAAACGGCAGTTAAAAAGCAACAGAAGCAAAAACATGTTGATGTTATCTGTTGACTACACAAAAGGAAACTAAGAAAAATTATAATTTTTCCTAACTCAAGAACTTCAATCGTGTTTCACAGCGACCGCTTTATAGTATGCAGCCTGACAATCTGGCCTAAAAAAGGATAGCACAGACAGAAGCAGCCATAGAGTTCGAAAGATAGGTTAACGTCGGGACGAAAGAAAGATGCGTGTTAGCTGCGACCTATTTCGGGATCTTTGTAAAAAAAAATCCCTAAAATACACCGAGAAAACCTTCAAAGGATATACCGCCTTTCTCGTAAAGGGACACAGAGGGATAAAGGGATAGGCAATATTGTCATAAAGGAATAGGAAATATATGTGTTCCTGAACTGTATATAATTGTAAAATTTTTATTTAGATCCTATTATTCTTTCAAAATTCATCAAGGTCAGAAAAAACCTTGTTAGTGTTGGATAAGATCCTTCTAAAACTATCAATAAGTTAAATCACCTTCTTTGACGTTCAAATCTTCTTTTACGGATGTTCGATAAAATCTTAGTTTCAATTTCTTTGCCAGAGCCTCTGCTTCATCACTGCAAAATAAATTAAAAGACTCTCTTAGATTGGACAAAGAAATATTGGCATATTTAATGTTTTAGAATAACAAACAAAATATAAAGTTGCACGACACTAAGGACCAACCATTTATCTTCTTATTTTTATTTATCATATTTAAACACAGAAACCCTATCAGGTACTGAGTCCAAAAAAAAGTTAATTTACATACAATGCTGGTCTTCCTAGGGATCATCCTTCGGGAAAGAATGCTAATTTTGCAGGAATTTCTTTTTTAATGTGGTAATCGTTTTGAACGTGGTAATATAATAAAGAACAATTATTCGCCAAATAATTGATAGGGTGATAGTAACTAAAAAAGAGACACACCATGTGGGATTAGAGACGATTAACCTCTTACCTTGTTCCTTATTATGAACAATATTAATCAATGAACAACCTTGTTTTGCCGATTACCATTTTAGTCATTTTTTAAATATGTCATTTTCACGCCATTATTTCACTTTATTGAAAAATTGGTGAATTAAGAAACGATGTATAACACTACAAATATATATAAAAAATATTTAGAC